GGAGGCTGCTTCGGTGGAACTTTTAGAGATAACTGGGTATATCACCCCCGATCGCAGGTGCGGAGCAAACAACAATATCTTCCTCTGAACTATGCTAATCCTCACAAATACAAATTCAGAAGTTGCGAAATCCTGTAGCGAATACGCAATTACAAAGGATTCGCCAATTTACTTTTGAAGTGCCTTTGCACTTCCTCTAAAATTCTCACTGCGAATTCCGGTCTATCACCCCAGTGATTTCAACTAAACTGAAATTTTAACCAAGTGCCTTTAGAGGCGTACTCTCCTCTCCCCGAGCTTGGCTCCCACCCCAGAGAAGTCTCTCTACCAACTGTAATTTTGTTTCTCATAAACGCACGAAGTTAACTTTTATCCCCACCCTTTCTCTTCATATGTTCTTGCTCCCTACAACGATCGCGTCGCTATTGGCTAAAGGCGATGGCGTTGTACACTAAATTTGGCCGATAGGCTCCGACGGAGTACAGGAATTTTCCAATCTGTTTCTGTCTCCGTCGGAACAAAGTGTCCTCTATCGTCTCGAAAATAGGCCACGTCTCTGAAGGGGCTTCCCGGCTACTGAATTATTGCTGCGGGTTTCCCCGATCACGATGACAGGCGTTTCGGAAGTATTCCAGATGTGGGCCCCTTACAAGTTACCCTGTCTTCGGCCGTTGGGTGGGGTGTCATAAACATACGAAATGGGTTAGGGGTTCGTGACTGTTGCAAGAAGGGGGCCTGCGCGCGTAACGTCGTATGTTTTTCTTCAGTAAAAAATTTCTTAGGTCTGCTTTACTCAATTTAATTTATCTTAATAATTCTGTACCGCTACAGTAGAAATTTTCCTAATTCTTTCATGAAGTGAGACCTTTTATCACCTTAATGTTTTAGGTGAGCGTTGTTTCGATGTTGGAAATAAGTTTCCCCATTCTCATCTATTTTCCTCTCCATGTTTCTATAGCACAGCAATTAAAAAAGGATGTGCATCCAATCTTTCCTATCACCGCAAAGCACACATATGCCATTACCATTCGCTTTCAATTACGTTGCATGCACACCCGACCCTGAACCGAGCGTATCCCACCTTGCGTCCCTTTCAAGTGTGTAAACAAACCTTTCGCAATACGATACCAGGCTCGTGAGAGAGTGCCACTAGCGAACGTTTTTGGCCGTTGCTGCCTTTTTAATATCCGCAAGTCTACTCGAGATTACCTGTTCTATCTCACGTGATCCCCTATCCTACACCGACTCCGAGACCTCCGCGTTCAAGTAAAGTTTAATTATGCACGACCAGGGCCGTTGGTGCTTCTCTGTAACTGCGCTCTACAGCGCCTTTGTATAACCATGTCAGCCTGTTCACCTGCTAATCTAATCCCAAGTTTAATGGGTTCAAGTTTTAAATATTTCTAAAATACTACACTACCGACCTCTCTTAAGACCCCGGAATTCGCTGTAAATCTAGAGCTTCCGAGAATTAAGTTGTAAATTTGTTTCAATGCTTTTTAGTCGATCTATCCCAGCCATTCTCTAAATTTCCGCCCCATAATTCATAGCTGGGAGAACTATTTAAACATTGTTTTAATATATCCGCGTAGTAAAATAAATGCAAGTAATGTAATTTCAGCAGACGCGTGAGTAGTATTTTCACAATCGCTCGCGAAGGCGGACATTGAAACAGGGACAAATATTTACACTGATCGAAGTATGCCTGAATTATAACCTAAAACGTGAAGTCAACGAGGCTATTCTAGCCATGAACAGTAAGAAAGCAGGCGGCGCTGACGGCATTCCGACAAAATTTATTTCGGAATTGTGGAACTTAAGATCCAGAGCATTGTTGATTCCGGATCGCATCCAGACACGTGGAATACGTCTATCCTCAAGCCGCTTTTTAAGGTGATATGAATTTCCCAGAAAATTTTCGTGGCATTCGCCTTTTACCAGCACTAAGCAAATTGTTCTGTAAAATACTCAACGGGCGACTGAGTGAATCGGCGGAAAAATACACTACAACCTCAAAATTGCAGGCAGGTTTTCGGAGGGGCTTCGCGACTACAGACAATAGCTTTGTTAGGTAGTCGCGAAGTGTTAGATACACTAGTAAAACTCGCGCTTTCACGCAAACGGGGCCATTTATACTGTAGTTTTGCCGATTTAGAAAAGGCTTTTGACTCAACCAATAGGGGTGTTTTATGGGAAAGCTTAATGGTCTAGACGTCTCACGATGTTTTAAATGTGTTGCAGAGCGTGTACAGAGAAGTACCCCCATGTCGATCAAGTTTTTGTCGTTTCCCTGATCCATTGAGCAAATGCTGAGATGGTCTCGTTTTGTTTCTGGACGTAAATGAAGCTTCACTATGCGCACGCTTTATTGAACTCCTTTTGCTTGTAATGGTAAGAGTAGAGGTAAGGACGAGTAGCTATTTTGTTTGCAATGCAGAAAAATCATACTGGCAATTCGTGTACCGATGCAAATAAGTTTTCTGTAACTCAGAAACAAAAATGACTATTTTTGAAATATTGCTTATCTTGCGATTTTTTAAAATTTATTTTTATTTATTTTTGGGTAACTTTTACTCATCCTTCAACTATTTATAGTTAAAATGACGGGAAGGGATTCTGGAACTCAAGAAAACGTGCGCAGATAATCTCCCCCCCTCCGTCACATAGGTTTTACTGTTTTTTGACTGAATAAATCTAAAATATAAAAGTAAATTTCTGTGCCAGTTGTAGCGACGGAAGTACAACGCGAAAAATAAAATCGACAGGAGTAAGATAGGGTTGCCCTGTATCATCGCTATTATTGATCTTGTTTATAAACGATTTAATGTCTTGGATACAGGAAGACGACACGTGTGCCGAAAATTGTTGGCCTGAGAATTCCCGGATTACACATTTTCTAGAAAAGTGTTAAGTGCATCTTCTGTGGATTTACCTTTTGTAAATACAAAATGATGTTAGCTGAAGGAATTATTAGTTTAAGAATGTTGAAGTCTCTTTTTCATATATTTTTCTATTATTTTTTTAGACACTGGTAACACACTTAGTTTTAAGTTCTTAGTTATAGTCCAAAGTTATATAAGTTTCATTTTATTACATTTCTTTAGAATTGGAATAACTATGTTCTTTTTGAGTTGGTTAGAAACATTTCGCTACAGAAACTTAGATTTATTATGTGATAATAATGGAGAGAATGCATGTGCATTCTTTTACTAATTTTGTAATTATTTTATCATAACACTTGAAGATGTATGTTTCTAACACTTCAAGAAATATGTTTTTTAAACTGTTGATTATTTGAATTCCTTCCTGTTGATTGGACACATTGAAGTCTTCGCCACGCTTCTCTGAAAAATTACAGAAATTTTTTGAAATAATTTGTCGTTATATCTCCTACATTTAATTTTATCCAGTTTTGATTTCAATTTAATTTCATTTACAATGAAATCAGTTCTCCATGGACTTTTTTAATTTAGCTTTTGTAATTTTATTTGGCATTTTGTTTCGAGTACTTTTAAGCATGGAATTATTAATTATTGAGAATAGTTCATCCACATGCATATTTACATTTTGATATTGAATTATATTGTTCCAATTCATTTCAACAAGATATTTTTTAAATAAATTATAGTTTATAAATAATTCATTTGTTTTTTTAGTTAACATTTATAGTCTTATAATTAAAATCATATTTTACTATTAAAAAATGAAATGAAATTCTTAGGTCATGTACGCAAACTAAAAAACAATTGGTTGGCTTAAATCTAACAAAGACGTGATCTATAACTGATGCAGACAACTCTGTATCTAGTAGTATGATTTAAGATGGGCATTAGTCCATGTTTATTCATATTCATTAAGACTAAGTAATAATCTGCATTTGTCGAGTTTTCTCTAAGTCAATATTTACAACTCCGAGGATTATAATATTGTTTTCAGTTTTTTTTAAGCGATTTTCCCATTCATCTAGAAACATTTACTTAGAATAAACATATAAACACTCCAGAAACATATAAATTGTTTATTTACAAAAGAAATGAATATATTTGTTCAGAAAGAACAATTAACCGAGAAATAAAAAAGTAGTAGAAATGGGTAAATTTGGTTAATTTTTTATTTTGAGTTAATTTTTCTTTCTGAACAAATATTTTTATTATTTTGCAAATAATAAACAATTTACACGTTTATTTGGTTCTGCAATGCAAATGTTTGCCTAGAAAGCATTTTTTCAACCGAACTTTTTGAGTGCTTATTGTGACTCAACCTTTAGAAATATCCCAGTAGTTTATTGGACAAAATATACTTAAAATTGTCTCAAGAGCTTATTAGCGAAGTTTTGACTTTTCCTTCCCAGATATCCTGTATATAGCAACCAGTGTCACATTTTGATTTCCCATTTTTAGTTCTAGTCACACAATCAGCTGTATTCCTATCACATAATATTAAGTTTACTTTAATCGAGTTGGCAACAAATACCATGATTCCTCCAGCTGCATATTTGACAATACACTTACTGTAAAATTTTCCCATTAACATCAAGAAATAAGAGAAACTAATTTAATATTTTGCCATTTGTGAAGTGGAACAAAAATGAAAGGGTGAGTAGTAACATGTGCACCATAGGCGTAGGACCTTCCTCCTCTTCTCTTGTCCTCCTCGGAGCCAACAGGGGAAGCTGAGACTCCTTGAGATGACCCTGAGCACACAGGTCTTCAGGATCAGTTTTTTAATGGATTTTAAGTTAAATCACAATTATAAATTAATAAACACTGCCACTCCCCAACTAAATGGTTTCAAACATCAATATGTTGATGCCCCATCCCTAATTAAAGAACAATTACTAAAGAAACCAAACAATGCAATTTTGCTATTATATTGCAGATTCATAACCATTTTGTACTTTACATGTGATTTCACAATTTATCGCAGATTGAAAGCCTTCAGAAATATACTGCACTGACTGTCAAACAGTTACTAATTTTTTCAGTGTTTGGTAACATTTAGCATTTTTAGCAATTGCTAAAATCTATCATCTCTAGTTATAAGCCATACAATGCACATATTCAAGCAAGACTTTCGCCACAGTAAAAATATTCAGAATTAATAAAGAGACCATTATGGTGTTAACAGTTGCAAAGTGTTCCCTTGAGTCCACATGTGCTTGTACATTTATATAAATATGTTTAATTAATTCTATGTAATATTAGATAAATATTTGTACAAGTTTCAATGACCTAGCATGATTAGAAGTGCAACATCTATCAATGGCACAGACACATATCATGCATAAAACCACAACAATACCAAGATGTACGCGAGACTGTGCTTGGCAATGAATGTGTTCAGAGCAAAATAAGATAATGAATGAAAATGACCAATGAAAGGGTAGGAGGCCAGGGAAGGAGAACACATAAAAGCTCTCCCTGAATCTTCCCATCAGAACATTGACCAATCCACATCAACAGCTCTTTTATTTTTTCCTTTTTTCATGTACCATCAAGCATTTTGAGCACTAGGTGGGGCAAAAATAAACAAAAACCAAACTTCTTCGTGCTTTTCCAGCTGGGTGAAAAGATGTCAAAGAGAGAGAATAGTTTTTTCATCTGAGAATGCTTCGGACAAAACACCCCAAACCACACTAAAATGTTTTGAAAATGCAGTTGTTTCACATTATTTATTGGAACTGAAATGTCCATAGATACACAACATTAATATCTATATTTAAAATAAAGTATTACAAATATGTGTAAAGAATTACTCACCCATAAATATTTTTCTTCCTTGCTTTACATTTGAAAACTGAAAAATACACACCACTAAGCACAGAACTGTGAAATAATAGGTGCTAGAAAACATTGTTAATTATCATCTTCAGTTTCATACTACTTTACAGTAACATATAAGTTTGAAAATAAGTGCACTAGTAGCACATATTATAATTGTATTATTAGAATTGCGAGCATCATACATTATACAACAAAGATTGTCACTATACCAAAATATAATGCAATTAAGGTCGTACTGGTTCTGTTATATTTAAAGACACTTCGTAACTCTGGCGTACAGGTATACAGTCATATAATGTTAATACAGCATATTAATTATTTCAAGAATGTATATAAAACTAATTCATAACATTTTGCATTACATTCTACAATAATTCTGAAAATTTGCTGAGACAAAATGCCTACTACTTTCTGTATTCAACCAACTTTAGTTACTTATTTCTTCTATTCAATGTATACATTTCAAAAATTTAAGGCTGCTGTAGAAAAAAAATCATTCAGTCATTATGGAAAATTAATTCTAAAAATACTTATATTGTAATTCCAATGCATTAAGTGCTGTAGAGTGAGTTATCAACTCCACATAGGACCACATTTAAATTAAAACTTGAATTATCTGACTAACGCTACACAAGTGTCATCAAAATAAAAGTTGTTAAAGCATTGTATACAGAATATCCAAAATTTCATTATATGTAACTAGGGTTACCAGATTACAAACAAACAAAAAAGAGAAAGAAATGGAATGTATGTGATAATAGTAATTAAGAAATAACTAGAGGTCAATCAAATTAATTTGTTTGTTCGTTCCTATGTGAATACATATGATATTTCTCACTGATACATTTTGAGATCCCTATTTGCTAACTTACAGTTCTTCACACTCCATTAGTTCACCGAGACCTGAAGCTCACCGTTAATTAAATCTCAGAACATATGCTACCACCAGTCCATTTACTTTTCATTAGTGAAAAACTTCCTGTGCAAACGTATTGGATTCAAGAATGCTACACAAAAACCTTACCACTTATTTGGCCACATATCTGGGACATTATATTCAATTGTTCAACTAGGAAAGAGAAGAAATCTCTAAGACATCCTACCCATATTCATCCTCAAATTTACTGACAAAACTTGAATGAAGTGATTTCCCATCAAAGATTAAATAACCTAACCTGAATTATTTATTATCTATACTAACACATCATGTTAAAAAAAAAAAAAAAAAATAAACCATTCTGTTAATTTTTGTGTTGTATGGTGAAGTGTAGTGCAATATAAAATAAGAAACAAGGGAAGTGCAATTGTATGTTGTAAAGTGGAGTGTAGTTGGTAAGTCATGTGTTTAATTGTTTAAAATATTTGTATAAGATACCCCCAAAAATTCAGTTATAAATAATAATGTTATTATTATTTCTTTTATAGTGATTATCAATTTTATCATTATTGTTACTGTTTGTTATCATTAATAAAAATTAGATTTCAATAATGCTTGTAAATTGTGGTGTTCTGCCACAAGGTTACACAAACCCCTCTGCAGAAACAATAAATACCTATCTCACAGGGACTAATTTACCTTTTTAATTTACCTAGAGATAAAAAGCAAAGCTGTAATAAAAAATGACTATCATGCAGGAGCCCACCCATTAAGTGTGTACAAGAACGCATCTGGTAACCCTACATGGAACTTAAAGTGTACATATCATTCACAATATAATACCTCGTCCTTATTTTCCAGAGATTCTAAAAACCATCACATATGGATAATAGCTACCACTATAAATTAAATAAAAGCTGTTGTAAATAACATTCTCATCGATCCAATCTTACTCTCTATACAATAATTCATCAAAAAATAAATTTCTTTGGTATTTATTGCCTAGCATATAAGTAACAAGTGAAAAGACTGAAAAGAGAAGCAAAGGCATGCACAGTAAAACTCCTCATTTACAATTTTGATGGGACCCTAGGGAAAATTGTGTGAATTGCAGGAAGTGTAAATAAGGGTAAATGTTCTTTTTTTTTTTCATTGAAACTATGAGTACAGTATGATGTATTTAGATACATTCAATCAATAAAGATAATAATACGCTTTAATATGCAGTATTAGTTACTAAACAAAATTACAAGGTCAAAGAGAAATCTGATCAAAATTTACACTAAAAATCAAAGCCATATTAACCGATGCACAGTGAATTTTAAATGTCACAATGTCACTTTCACAAATTCCTGCCATCCACAAGACTTTAATGATGCAACAATGCACTATTGTTGGATGAAGGGAGAAATTGTATTTCTACTGAAAGAAGAAAAAAAGCGTATTTTCCTCAAACTCATAAAATGTTTGTTTTCAGCAGTTTGTAATGATTTCCAACTAGTATTAAATTATTTTTTTATAAAATTATAGAAACAGGGTTTGAGAAACCAATTTACAGTTAAAAACGTACAGAACACTACATACTTTCATGTTTGAGATATTAAAGAATGGGGGAAAATACGTTTATTCTAGAATGAGAAAGTAGACTGTAAAGATTATGTAAAATAAACAAATGATCGTGAGGCTACCTCCCTTAGGATATGTCACATGAGCGTTGCGTTGACGCGCGTCACCTAATGCCGATGACTGTGCATTCGTCACATAACGCGTATCATAAATTAACACTATCTTAAGTGATGCGGCACACGAGCGCTCTTATCGACGGGCGTCGGGCCCACAGCTGAAGCAAGACGCTCACATTACATTGTAAGTCAAGATAAAGTGCGTTTTCTAGCTTTCAATGCGTGACGTCCGCTAGATGACTAGCGTGGGCAACAATGTACATCGCCAAGAGCGCTCTTGTGTCGTTTCACATAAGATGCAGTGTTAAGCGACTCGTGTACGCAGGCAGCGACGCAGCTGGCGTCATCAGCGGTGTGCGTCGCGCATTAACTCAACTCAACGCTCGTGGGCCCGGACCTTATATTCTTCAACCAATGCACATCGGTCATTTTTTTCGACCTTTTTAACAAATACCTCTGTAATATTATGAAATGAAAATTTGTATAGGCTTAGCTGCTCAATAATGATTTTCACCATCTTTAAATCTTCTAGTCTTCATGCAACATTTCATAATCTTTCTGTAATGGCCGTCTTTAACGTGGCACGGTGGTGGGAGGTGCAGCGCAGTGCCCGTTTTGCCGACGTTTTTCCAGTCGGTGCTCTGGCACGCACACTCTTGCATATCGAAAATGCGGGGTATTTATAACATTATGAATACACGAAAACTGATGGGACCGACGAGAAATATTGTAAATGCGGGATCGTAAAAGCGGGGTTTTACTGCACAATGTTTCGTAGTTGAAGGCACCATTTATTTGCAAAGCTATATATAAATTCTTATTTGTATAAGAATTTTACACATTTATTTACTCACATACATTTATAGTATATCTATTTAAGAATTGTCATGATTCGGCTGTTCTTGTAGCAAGTAGTAAGGTACTTCACGTAGGTCAAGCTCTTTGTTTTCTATAATCTAACAGCATGTTCAGTCTCGCAATATTTCTCATTTCCGAAAGGCCTCAAATTCGATCACCTGACACAAACACTCTTGTTGCTCTTCAGCAGCCACAGAGCCAATGGCAGTGGCTAGAAAGGAGGCGCTTCAGGCTTGGTTGCCGGGTTCTGCCCTAATTCACTATTTTCAATAAACTACTTGAAGATCAAATTACATTCAATTTCAAAAATAGAAATTTAACAAAACTTTCATAAATTTTATAAGTGTAATAATGCTGTAGTTAATTATTTGGAAAATTTACTGCAATATGAATTTTAGACAGAACTACAGAACAAAATTTAAAGATGTAAGTTAAGGAACTGAGCATGTAACTGATCAACACTTTGTGCAAAAAATAAAATAATATAATAATTTAAAAAAAGCCACACATACATACATACATATATATATATATATATATATACACACACACACACAACTGATGAAGATTGTTAGGTGGAAATTCAATAGGTAAGAGACAGCAGTGCAACCATAGACAAAGTATTCATCAAAAAGAGAAAAAAATTGATGTAAAGTAAGGGTGTAAAATATCACATTAACACTTTATGGACACATACCAAACCCTGTGATGCACCTGTCAAGGAGCTGTCAGTTTATTGTTGACTGAAAAGCACCCTTTTGTCAGCCGAATATTTCACGTATAATGCAATTCTTAAATAGACTCCTTGTGGAGATTGAAGTTAAAGAGAGGAACATTTACGTAACATCATACTAATTAGCATACCACGGAACTTCATTTCGGTCAATTTGGCACAGGCAGAAAAACAGGCCTGTCTAACTATATTTTAGTTCCCATTGTCTTTGCACATGAATACTGGGAACTCAATTGTTTAAGAAGCATTATTAGTTCTAATTTTTATTTATTACTATTCTTATTCTATTCTATTATTACTGACATAATATGAAGTGAAGAGGAATGGAGGAGGAGAAACGGAGTTACAAGGTTTGCTAATTAACATGACAAAAATACACTCATAATACTGATGCAAGAGACCATTTAGGTCTTTAAGGTATGATTCCATTCTGCATTATAGCTGCCATATGTAATTTTTGTAGTCATGCAGCCTTGCTTACGTTTGTGCAAAAGATAAAAATACCTCTTCCAATGTTGTTTCACTTATGGTGTAATCTTCAATAATTTCAGATTCCTTCTTTAAAGTCTCCATAGTCTCAAACATATAACCCCATGATACATTTCGATCAGTAACTTGATAGTGCAGAAATGTCTGTAACAAAGAAAGGTTACTTATTCGTTTTAATTTCTCAGAAATTTGCCATAAAGCAAATAACACCACAAGGCATGAAAGCAAAACAAATGATACAAGAAATACTTAAAACTGGGCTGCATTCTCTTTATTAATCTAACTATATGTAATAACAAGCAAATATTCAGATTAAAAAAATAATAAATAAAATGTGTTATTTAGCTTTAAATTCAATTGATGACAAGAGTCTTTAAAAATCAGTGGATACAAGGGGGTTGTTTTATAAGACACCACATACAAACTAGTGATGCTAAAACAGCATATACTTTCCCGTCCCTTAGTAATGGTTATGTAATTATATTATACTGCATATCAATTTAGCTGGATGATAAAATATCTCACAATCCAGTCTGGGTAATGACAACGTAGAAATGTCTTGACATAAAATAAAAACAAACATTATTGAAGCTGCTAAATAGGCCGCAGGAATAATAGAAATAAATGCAAAAAAGAAAGAAAACAAAAATATACCTTGGTTTACTAAAGAACTGAAGGATATAGCACAAAAGAAAAGAGCGGCACATATAAAATTTGAACAGAATAAAACACCAGCAACACATTAAGAATATAAAAATATCAGGAACAAAGTCAATGCAATGATTAGAGAAATAAAGAAAGATTACTGGATCTCCTTGACCATGCGACTAAAACTTGGCTTCTAGGGGCATCAAAACTATATCTGGAGAGAGGCCAGAAGGCAGAAATAAATGAACTACTCCACGATGACACATCAGAGATGATACACTCGATTGAAGATTTTACATCAAAGGAACAGTGCATAGAATGTGAAGAAATATCAAAAGTAATCGGAACACTACGAAATCAGAAGTCACCAGAAGAAGATGGAATATATAAGGAGCTCATTAAATATTGAATATGAACCTCATGCAGAGAGATAACCAAACTTGTTAATAAAATTTTAAATGATGCAACAATATAAAGGAATGGAAATCAAGCATTCTTATCCCTCTATTTAAGCATGGAACAACATCAGGGTTTTAGTCGTGGTAGATTAGGTAATGATGCAATTATTATCATCCAACAAAATATCTAGAATTTAACAAACTCATTTTCCTATGCATTGTGGTCCTAAGCAAAGCATTTAACAATTTAAAAGTAACAATTTCAATTTATTGTAATAAACATTCATAGAAAATTATGGTAATCATTTTTCTCAATTTTTCTTTCATCTTAGGCTCTGAATCAAATGCTCACAAAGTAATAAATATTTCAACGATATTACTCTCTTCAAGCAATTGACCAAGCACATAATAATTATTAAATACTTGAATTGTAATATTAAATGGTATTGTAATAAATATAGTCTTGTAATATTCTCCCATTATGCTTGATTATGACTTAACACTTTTTACACATTACTCCTTGTATGTAATGCTCTCCATATGCTTTTACAGATAAGGAAATTTCCCCCAATTCTCATTAGTAATCGAACAACAAACTCTCATTTCCATGTGTTTTCAGAATTCAACATGTGTATGGGTTCGGGTAGGGATACAAGAATTTAAGAAAATGTTCACAGAACATCACACAAAAATTTTAACGTATTTGATGTAATAAATATATAAATAAAACAAAGACTCATTACAGTTCAATGTCCATCCAACAAAGAGAAGAATTCCTAAGAATTTCACACTGACAGATCGTCAAACAAAACATAGGAAATTAAAATATTACAATTTCAAAAATTATAAAATTACACTAAACTACTCATATTAAAAAAAAATTGTACATAATATGTTATAAAGAAATTATTTTTACTTTCTTGCTACGGAATAAAGAGAAAGTTTTGTAATCCTGCGCACAAAAACGGTGAATTTTTAGTGGAAAAGCTACAGGGCCCTGGTAACACACAAAAAAAAAAAGGATAAATCCAGTTGCTAAATTTAGAAAAAAATCCTCATACATGTGGTGTAGCCAGAAACCATGTTTTGTGGGTCCTTGACATTGAAAAATCAAATGACAGCAAAACCTGTGTCTGTGTACAATGCTAGCACTCAATACATTCTTGGCCAACTGGGATGAGCCACGTCTCAGTCAATTATTCTGACGTTTCAGCCATCTTGCTGTGGCCTTCTTCAGGACTATACTGCTGATATTGCTGCAGTATAACTCTGAAGAAGGACACAGCAAGATAGCCGAAACGTCAGCCCAATTGACCGAGACGTGGCTCATCCTGGATAGCCAAGAATCGAGTATGGTAAATGGCTCTTCTTCTGTCACCTCTAACTGGAATTCATACCCCCTTGGTGGCTCTTCTGATTTCCCAAATACATCAATTGCTCTAAGAGTCCTTGCATTTTCCCCGAACAGTCATTACTGCATTCATCGGTGGTCCCCTAACGACTGCAGATACTTGGGTTCGAAAATTCACACCTTTTGCCTGCCCTTCACAAATCCTCCTCCACTATCCCTGGGCGGCTTGTTTGCACTTCATTGGCACGTGCTGTCATACACCTGCTTCCTATGTCTAAAATTGCATTATGTGCTCTCAGGCAATCAAAGGCTTTAATAAGACCCAAACAATTATCGCGAGGCTCTAATAACGAAATTTTCAACCACGAACTCCATCCACACTTGACTGCTCTGACAATCTGCAACTGTTTATTCGCCGCCTGAACTCTGAACTTTCAGATCAGTAACTCCACCAACATTACACCCTCACGCTTTAATTTTTGATAAAATTCCTATGACATTGTCGTCATGCTACTGCCAGAATCCGCCAAACGCTTCTGTTCCAACCCCATTACACGTTCCTTTCAATACTAAACAGCGACTTCTTTTTTTGCTCCAGCTCTTCTTCCCAAATTAATTCTTTCTCCGCTATCATTACGCATGCCTTAGCACTTGCTTTTCCCCTTCCTCTGTTTGGACCAACGCACCTACTTGCACCAAACAATTGAGTTTTCCTGGATAGTGTTCACGTCTAACGTTTGGTCAGTTCTTCCTTCATTTTTGAAAAATATTTATTACCTCCACCAGTGTTCTGTTATATAGTATTCACTTTGTTTCTTTCCTTCTTTATTGAAGTTTTCGTGCTCACGAACATGTTTTGCTTCTCAACCCAATTCAAGTCACTCCAAGGTGCATATATCATAGTGTGCTGGGTTCGTATCAAAAACTAGTCTGGTCTGTGCATGACGTCATCTGGGTAGCATGGTCGTACCCTGACAGCCATCGATGCTTCCTCTACCAAACCCATAATAATTCTGACCAAAAATTGTCTGCTTTCACTTCCTATCCAAAGTAATCAGTTCACTTGTTCCTCAATGCACTCTTGTCGCACCCTAACCGTACATTAAGCATCTTTTGCCTCCTATCAACAATGACCGATCTTATTTCTCTGGTTTGTTTTTGGAAAAGTTCCTTAATGGTTCAAAATTCACTTCATCCAAATATTTTGATTTTCTGACTCCTTACATTCTTTATTTCTCATTAATTAGTGTCATCACGCAATTCCTTGCATTTCGCCTGATAATCGACAAAGTTTTGTTTACAAATGACAAAAATATCACAAGGTAGTTGCCTTGCCTCACAATGAAGTGATAATTACCTCAAAATGCAACACTCTCCAATAATGAAATAGTTTCCAATCATAAGATTGATTTTTTGTACAAATACATCATGAACTTCTACAACCAAAAAATAGTCAGCCAGTCAAAATGAATTTTTACTGTAGTTTTAAGTGATGGACTATAAGAATTTCAAAAATGGTGAGATTTGAAGCCGTGTTTCATTGACATGAAATATCCTTAAAGTAAAATTTTGCAATTGTGTGAATATTAAGGTCAAGACCAATTTATCCATTTGACTACAAAACAAGTCTTTAGTGATTCATCACAGCAGCAGAAATAATGAAAGTAACTAAAGTGTAATACAATTAAATCATGATACATTTCTTTGAATTAAACTAAAAAATATGAATTAATACCTACCTCATGAGAATCTTTGAGAATTATTGTTGAGAAAGCCGATTCCATTTTCTGTTTGGCTTTCTCAATGGTCTCTTCTCCGCCTCCAGCTCTCAACTTAATTTTTATTGTTGAGCCCTGTTTATATTTATTTTTGAGGTAGGGAATATTACCCATACACTTCAACTGGCCACCCACCATTATACCCAATCGGTTGCAGAGCGCTTCACATTCCTCCATACTGCAAAAGAAACACACATTTCTACAAATGTCACTTTTTTTCACACAAATTAGTTATGACAAAAAATAGGTGTCAAGAGAAATGCTGTGTCCATGAAACTCAAACATTTTGCCATTATCCTGAATAGTTTCTGGGTGTTCTCATGTAACAGGAGATAAATATAAAGTTCTCCAATAAAAGTACACAGGAAAAGAAAAAGATGAACATTTTCACAACAGGAAAAACCAGGAGGATTTTAAAAGCATTACTACATTTATCATCAACACACATTTATGTGGTATAACAGACTTAAATATGTACAAATCATGGGGGTGAAGGTGAGATACAGAAATTGGCAACACACTGCCAGGCCACATGGAGTGCTAGTCGACGGAATAGCATGCAGTGATTATTGGTAAGTGGTTTTCGCTTGATTTATGTACGTCACATCCAGCCTTCATTACATTTCCACATGGCAAATTTCCATATGGGCACCTTCCTGACCAATATGTTCATGCGTGTGGTTAGTGTGTTTCTTATTTCAAGATATTTTGTTTTACCTGTTACACTCACATCAGCTATGAGTTCCGTGAATTTCAATTTGCTGGTCTTGGTGAGATATAAGGATATTTTGCAATATAGAGGTAAGCATTTAATTGAATGTTTCATTCACATTTAATTGCATCAAATTTGTGATCTACTTTATTCACAGAACACTTGTTTATGCACAAGCATGTTTTTATTGAATCATTATTGTACAATAGTACAACATTACACATGAGGAATATGGGACTTTCACTCTAAAATTGCATAGGAATATTATTTTGTGATAGATTTTTAATAACACTGCTTTTTAAACTTTGTTTTCAGACCAAATCTAGCTGACAGAGGTAAGTTTCTTACCTCTTCTACAGGCTACTATGTCGATCCATGCTTTTACCAATTTTCCAAACAAAATTCAAAATAAAAGAAAATGTAAAGAAGGCCAAGAAAAAAAGGTGAAAAAGTTCAAAAAATTTATTTCTAGTGTTTGTTGTGCATATTGTGTAATAGAGGCAATGATTTATTATAGATTTATTTGTTCCGATTCCTTGATTTCTTCCCTCACCATATAATTAGATGATTTTCCTCAGTTATGACTAGGGGACAGATTTAAATGAAATGTCTTTTTTTTTCTTTCACTTTCGAATCGTTTAGAACAGAAATCCATTTTATGTTATGACAAAACGAAATTACCCCCCCTTTTTTTGTTGCATTTTTCGATTTTTACTAATAAGCCATTTTATATCTTTTTACATAATTTTTAATGCATTTTTGGTGGGTTTCATCAATTTTGACATCGAATTATTTTATGTGTAGTTGTTTTCAGATTTTTTAAACTCTTATTTTTGGCATCTTTCCTACATTTTTTCTACATATTTGTTGCTCATAAAATGGCAAGGCGATCTGTCAATCTGTAGGTTTTTATCTCACTTATGATCCAAGGGCCTCAAAGCACCTGGTTTTGCTAGCTGCACTACGAATCCCTTATGACGACCGTTTCTGAAAACCAAACTAAGAAGGCATTTTTTGGTAAAATAGACCATAGACCTTGAAATAATTCTGATCGTGTCCTGCCTGATCACTTTCCAATCTATATCATAGTTAAAACTATTCATTCCTCTGAAACAATCAACTCAAATAGTAATGCAAAACTCAACATAAAATTTTTCAAACCGGATGAAGAGCATTGCTGTGAGCATGACTATTGGAATGATATCCAGAGTGGCCTCTCATTCCCTGGAACAAATTTCCAGCGATTTCCTGCTTTTCCAGAGCATTTTTTATTTTTCTCCCTGATACGATCAGTAATTTCACACTACTTAAAGAAAACACTAAAGCTACCTTGGTACTAAATGGTCAGCTCTGATTCCACCGTGACAGTAAAAATTAACAATATTTTTCACCAAATAACTACTGAGCCAAAAATTATGCTGAACTAATGGTTTTAAGGAATAAGATCTATTTTTATAACCCTTGCAAAAATTTTACTGACTTCTAACGATTTGTCTACAATTTTTCTTGGTTTTCCAGGTTATCCAGGAAGTAGTATCTATCATGACAATGTTGTTAATGTAGCGTTTACAAAATTTACGAAATTGTTTTATAAAAAGGTCAAAAAGGAAAACGAAAGTCATACGTAATAGTAAAAGAGAAGTGACAGGATTACTAAAAGTTTGATTAAATCAATAAAATTTAAGAATTATTTATATACAAAATGAAATCACAATGATCTTTTTTTTTAACCAAAGTGAATTAAATCACACTCACAGGTATTTACACAAAAACGTTTATTTGTAATCAATTCGACACTAAAACTACTTGATCTATATATAATATAAGTAATATATAGATCAAGTACCTGTATATGATCTATATATAGATCATATACAGGTATATTACACAGTCCTTGTGTTCTTCACTTCCTTTTTTTCCTCACGCACGACTCCGTTCTCTTGATTATTTATTTACACTGTTCTCTGCAATCTGATAATTTATTTAAACGGATCACTTCTTCTAAAGTATCACACAGTCCCCTGCGCAGACCCCACTTCCCTGCGCAGACCAGGGTCCACTGCACTGCTGTTTACCGCGATGCACACTTCACAGCTCAGCTTCCACTGCTGACTGCTGTTCACCCACTGCACCACTGTTTACTGCAATGCACACTTTACAGCACAGATTCCACTTCAGACACACTGACTGCTTATTCACTGATTACATACACTAAATGATCAGCGGCTGCTTACTTCAGACCACTACTTACACTGGCTTTCACTGACATACTTACACAAATCGACTTACACTGACTGACTCGCGGCCGCCGGCAGCGGCGCATTTATACCTGGCCGGCGATCGTCTCGACACAACCAGCACTTTCTCCACCTTTCCCCGCGACTAGTCCGGAACCGTCCAGTTCGGGTGGAAAGGGAGGGGCGCAGGCAGATGACACAACGCGCGCAGCGAATCCGGCAGGTGATGCAATATTCGTTACAATATCAAGGAACTTTGGATATTTATTAAGAACACTATAATTGGGATGTAGTTGTGAGAGAATCTACAAGAAAATTACTTAGTGAATTTGATTCAAATACCTCAAGGTGATCTTAATATATTCTTTTAAAAAATTGGGCCCGACATGGCATCTAAAATCGATTCTTATGGAAATGCAACCTTTACTAAAATTAGTATACCAATATCATATTATTTAACCCAACTAATGAGATTGAAATTCTTAAAATTAAACACAACATGAACATATACAAATCTGCAGGGATTGGGAAGATATCGGTCTTCAATCATTACAAAAAATTTTGAAACACAAAATCAAACCATTATAACTTTGGTTAAATAAATAGATGGGGGATACAGATAGGGATGTAACACTTGAAAAAGCAGAGGTAATATCTAATGTTAAATCAGGAGACCCTATTCTTGTTACCAACTATAGGCCTCTTTTCCAATTTCGTTACATATTTGAAAAACTATTATAAAAATCTAGAATAAATAGTTCTTATCATCCAACTCAAATTAATACACCCAAATCGATTTGAGTTTCAAAGTAAGAAGAGCACAAAAGATGCCTTCAACATGGTAACGGATCAAACCTCCAATTGCTACTGTCAACTAACAAATTCTTCTTAAAAAGTTATATCATTTTGGAATTAGAAGGGCCACTCTGCAACTAATAAAAGGTTTGGAAGGAAACCAGTACTATTTAAAATAAACAACACCCAACACAATAAATAACACAAGTTATTAACAATGATTCTTGTGATGTCCCAGAAGGAACTATTTTGGACCACTACTTGTTTTGTTGTTGTAAATGACCTTGAAATTCTACCGTCGAAATAAATTATTTCATTTGTGGATGTTTGTCCAAACAAGCTGGCAGGGTTTTATATATACATTGTTTTAACAATTAAGTAAATATAATTTTGTTAGTTTTGTGGGCAAGCACACAGATTTAATTCCTTGTGCTAATTATTACTAGAATTTTTATAATGCATTAACGTAAATGTAATAATAATAACAATAATAAGAGGGGGAGAGAGAGGGAGAGAGGGGGAGAGAGAGGGAGAGAGGGGGGTAGAGAGGGA